CAGTTGGAGAGCTTTTAGGAACACTCGACACGTAGGTGAGGTCACCTGGGGCACTGAGAGGAAGGACGGCAGTGAAGTCATAATAGGGAGTTTAAAAGTCCAACCCTTTGGCCACATATCTCAGAAACTCTTTGAGGTAATGTTACCGCATCTGACACCAGGGTTTCCTGGCTTGTGTCTGATACACATTTGTAATGGAAAATGATACATCTGTCCGGGGAATACTGGTCAACGCATCGTTAAGTTACTGAGCTCTGAGTCTAGGCTCAGCAAGTAAGCTTTTCACTGAACCTTGATTTTCCGTGTAGATTTCTTCAGAATTCAAGCATGAAGTTCCCTGGCTAGGGAGCCTGGTCTGTGGCAAGCCTAGGGCTAGAGACAAAGGTTAGCATGATAGTTCTGTTCTTATCTGCTCCTGGGAGGATAAATGAGTGAAGTTTTACATAATAAATGCCACATATCTATATTTACATATATACTTATTATAAATATCAGATATAATTATACTTATATATGTAATATAAATATAAATAACATATATACTTATAATAAGTATAAATAAACATATGATACATATTTGATTCCTCGCACATGGCTCTCCAAAGCTTTGGAATCTCTGTAGAGTGATGAGTGTCTTTTGTATGCTAATGAGATGACTGTGGTTGGGGGGGCCCAGATGGCTTCAAGATGGGGGCTGTTTGCCAGAAAAACCAAGGTATGATTAGAGGCTTGAACTTTCAGCCCCAGTCTGTAACCGTCTCCAGAAGGCTGGCGATGGAGTTAATTCCTAATGGCCAATGATTTCATCAATCATGTCTACTTAATGAATCCTCCATAGAAACCCCTAAACAATGGTTTCAGAGAGCTTCCCTCTTGGTGCTGAGAAGGCGGGGCCCCTGCAGAGGACACGGGAGATCTGCACACACATCTGATCCCATCCCATCCCTGCCCTATGCATCTCTGCATTCAGTGATTCTTGAGTCTGTACTCTTCATCACGAGCCCGTAGTAGTAAGTAAAGCACTCTCCTGAGTTTTGTGAGTCATTCTAGCAGGTTACTGAGCCTGAGGAGGCGACCATGGGAACCCCGGATTCATAGCCAATGAGAATTACAGGTGGTAACCTGGGACTTGCACCACGTCTCAAGTGAGGGTAGTCTTGTGGAATTGAGCTCTAACCTGTGGGGTCTGACACCTACTCCTGGTAGTGTCAGAATTGACTTGTAGGACACCCAGGTGCTATCTGGAGAGTTGGAGAATTTTCTGGTATTGCTGTGATGTGGGAAGAAGCACAGCTCTGGGAACATACGGCAAAGACCCTCAATGAAGGCCAGGATGGTAAGAGAAGGGTTTCCGGAAAAGCTGATTAAATGGAGACCTGAGATTGGTCAGCCAAAGCGGAGAGGGAGGGTTGTGAAGAGGGCTGTAAAATTCTAGGCAGATGGAAAATCACGTGTGAAGACCAGGGTGTGAGCTTCTCATTGTAAATGTAGATTTAGATTGATGTTCTAGGTTTTGTACTTTGTTCTCTCAGAAGTTGGATTAGCGTGAGTCAGTCTTCTGGCATCCAATTACCTCTTGATGCTGACAAAGTTGATTCTCTCAGTCTACGCATCGGATGATGGGATCAGGGAACACTGTGGGCCCATCCAGACAGTGTCACCCATTGTGTGCCAAATGTCTTCCCAGATAACACTTCTCACCTTATTTTTTGCGTGATTATCCAAACCACAGTGGAAATTCTTAAACGTTTGGGGTTGGACAGTTTACTCAGAGGGGGTGGGAGGCAGGTTCAATGTTGTTTTGAAATAGGGCTTTCTTGGAGTGCCTGGGTAGCTCAGTCGGTTGAACATCCTACTCCTGATTTTGGCTCAGGTCATGATCCCAAGACCATGGGATTGAGCCCTGCACTGGGCTCCTCATGAGCATGGAGCCTTGTTAAAATTCTCCCTCTCTCTCTCTTCCCCCCACACTCCCACCCTGGCTCATGCTTGCATGTGTGCTCTCTCTCTCTCTTAAAAAAACAATCCTTAAAGCAAAAGAAATAGGGTTTTCTTCTAAAAACTGACATCGATACTTTCCATGGTACAAGACATGGCCAGGCAAGGGTGCTGGTGGGAGCCCGTACCCCACCCAAACAATGATGCTGGCTTTCCCCCACATCTGCTGCTTCTTTTCAAATAAGCCCTCCACCTCTGTGCTTATTCATTTCCACTCACGACACCAGCTCTCTAATTTAGCGGCGGAGATGAGAGTCGGCACCAGGGCCACCCTTCCAAACAACTTTGTGTTTCTTCAGAGCGTTTCCTGTGGTGCTTGGTACCAATGGGCCCTCATGGTGTGTGGCTTGCCTGCTATATGTATAGGAGCTCTCCAAGAATGTTCCATTCCAGATTGCTCAAACACAGACTCATTGTCAACTCACAGCCACTGAAATAGTTCTAAAGAAATGCGGTGTCAACACACCCACGTCAACAGCGACGCAAGGTCACTGAGCTTTTCTGAAATGACACTACAGAGAAACTCCTTGTGGTTTTTCCTGACTCAAACTTCTGTTTTGGGCATTTGTTAGAAAAGTTTGCTGATAAGGCAGGAAAGTAACCGTTAGATTTTTAACTGATGGCCATAAAAATGGCCATTGCTTGACGAGGCGATCCCTTCAGGCCACGGGGGAGGCTCCCGGAGCGAGGTGTCCTGTGCTTCCCTCCCACGCCTTCAGCATTTATTGGAAATATATCTTCAGAGAGGGACTCAACAGCTTTTTTGATGCTTTTATTGATAAGTTGAGTACAACCTTAGATTTAGTTGTCAAATATTCCTTTACACATTTCAGAGAGAAAAATTCTTCCGCAAAGATTCTATTTCTACTTTTTTGATACATTCACATTTGGTTACAGCATTCATGCTCAAACACGTTCATTTGTAGTGGTTTGTGATTCATATTCATTTACAGACGCTGTTTTTTCTTTAACTTGTTTCAGTGTCCTCCTCTGGGAGAAAAAATAAAAGAGACCACCACCAGGAAAGGAGCAGAGACCTAGAAACTTCTACGGTGCCCGAACCCATGAGAGCAACCCTTGTTCGGGCTTCACACATCCAACACACCATGCAAGCTTGGGAGGAAGCAAAAACGACAGTATCGCTAAACCCCAAAACTATAGTGGATATAAAATACTGGGTGCTCCACATGACAGAGGGAGCCATCGGATTTGTCACTTTGGGTCACTGTAAGAAGCTGCTACTTACTGGGATTGTCAGTACTGTGCAGTCAGTCCCTGAGTGGGTTTTGGACTGATCACTGATACTGGGACACGTGGGCTCACACTCACAGATAATGGCTCTCCAGGACCTCTCTGTGATCTTAAGGGCTTCCTGACAGGAGTCTGGAAGCTTTGGGGTCACGTTGGGGAGGCTGGATTTTCTGACAGAGCGAAGCCAAATGAGGCTATTAATGCCACTGTGGCTGCCACACCCCATCTTGTCCCAGGTCTAGCCTCTGAGAGAAGAGGGAGATCAGGCAGGACTGCCCCTGGATGGATGGTTAGGGAAAGAGGGACGGAGGTCCTTGGGAAATATTCTGAGGTCATTCCCTCTCTCTCCCTAGCAAGGATTTCTGGTGCTATGTCTACAAAGAGAAGCCTTGCTACCGATTTGATCATTTCCAGGTGCCCTACATCCAAAGAGGACCCCATGGGCTAGTGAAACTCATTATGCTGTGGTCACGATTGTCCCTGAGAAGACAGACAATGAGAACAAACGACGGTGCTTATACGTTTTCATCTGTAGGGTGTGCTGTAGGAAACGAGGTTTGTTGCATTTAGTGAAACATATCTCTTTTTGATGTGTTGTGGATGCCTCAAAAAAAAAAAAAAGACAAAAACTTGGTGAAGGCTCCATTTCGATTCATGTCAATGTGAGGAAACCTTCTGGTGTCACTGTACTGTCCTAGAGAAAAGGGCTCTCCCTGGAGTAACCCACTGGGTAGGCAGAGCCCCTGGGGTGTGCAGATGGGGGCGCGGAGCAGGTGCAGAGACAGCTTAAACTCCTGTGGTGCAGAATCAGGTTTGGCCTCATTTCCATAGCCCCGGAAATGCTCCTTCTTTAAAGATCCTGCTTTAATACTCTGCACTTTTGTTACCATTGAGAACCATTATAAAGCCATTTATAAAAATGTCTCCCCTCTGGGCCCCTTATCCATTAAATTTACAGCGAAGCCAAAGGTACTAGCTTGTTCTCCAAGCCGCAAAATGAATGTCTGAGGCCGAATTATAGACTTTGTAATTATTTTCAGAAAAAACAAGTTCTTTCTAAAGTCGCGAATAATGAAATAGAATGAAAATACATGGAGTTTTGATTTCTCTCCTGGAATTTAATCATTCAACATTCAAATCAGCTTTCATAATTTCTCACTAGTTGACAAGCCGATTAGTTGATGTTCCGTCAATGTTATATATATATATAGTAGGATTCTTGGGGATAAAGGCAGTCTTGACTATTGCCTGTGGTTCTTCGGGAACAGATGCTCTCTGAAACCTTAAATGAGAACATTGCTCTTAAAGTGAGTACAGTGCTCAGAATCCGTCGCGGTCAGTCTTACAGAGAACTCACCCAGTCGTTGCTGAAGGTAAAATGCGAGAAATGAAAAAAACCTGAGGAATCTCTATGTACGTGTCTAGCCTGACTCGAAATGACGCGGGAATGGCCATCCACACAAAAAAGCGGAACCGCACTTTCACCTCTGCTCTGGGTTGTGCGTATTGCTGAGGCCTGAGAATACTTCTCGCTCTTTTTCATGGGCACAAAGCAAGAGATGCGAGGAGCTTCTCCTCTGACTTTGTTTTTGTAGTTTTGGAAGGACCTTGAGGGCTGCGTGTGCGTGTGAGAGAGAGAGAGAGGGAGAGAGAGAGAGAGAGAGAGAGCATTTGGAGACAGAAGACCAGGGCATGGCGGGACTCGCGCGCCTTTCCGAGCCGGCCGGCAGGGGGCGCGCGCAGGGCTGCAGCTACACGTCGAACCAGTGGTCCCCCATGCAGGCGCGGTTCCACTCGCAGCTGCAGGCCCAGCACCACTCCAGACGGCACTGGGGCTGCGGGCACTTCATGTGCATGCATCCTCCTGCGGGCGGGCAAAGGACACAGGTGAACGCCTGGACGACACCACTTCCCGCACCGGCACCCCGGTCTAGAAATGCCTTCTGGCTCACCTGGGTGGCTCAGTTGGTTAAGCGTCCCACTCTTGGTTTCGGCTCAGGTCATGATCTCGCGGTTGGTGAGTTCGAGCCCCACATCGGCGCTGTCCGCGCACAGCCTGCTTGGGATTCTCTCTCCCCCCCTCTCTGCCCCTCCCCTGCTCACTCTCTCTCTCTCAAAAATAAATAAACTTACAATTTTTAAAAATGTTTATTTATTTTGAGAGAGAGAGAGAGAGA